AAAGCTATGTGTGTTAAAATAGAGAAATTGGAAACTTACCAATACTTTTGTTACAAGACAGACGAAATAAAAGTGCACCAGTACGTTGAATTAAAATAATAATAAAAAAAGAAATCGTTAGTAATCTATTTAAAGCTATGTATGTTAAAATAGAGAAATTAGAAACTTACCAATACTTTTGTTACAGAGCAGACGAAATAAGAGGTGCCGCCAGTGCGTTGAATTAAAATAATAAAAAAAAGGTATCGTTAATAATATATTTAAAGCTATGTATGTTAAAATAGAGAAATTAAGAACTTATCAATATTTTTGTTACAGGGCAGATGAAATAGAGTGTGCTAATGCGTTGAATTAAAATAATAATAAAAAGAGGTATCGTTAGTAATCTACTTAAAGCTATGTACGTTAAAATAGAGAAATTAAGAACTTACTAATACTTTTGTTACAGGACAGACGAAATAGAGTGCGCCAGTGCGTTGTTTTTTTTTTTTTTTAAAAAAAAGGTATCATTAGTAATCTACTTAAAGCTATGTGCGTTAAAATAGAGAAATTAAGAACTTACCAATACTTTTGTTATAGGGCAGGTGAAATAAAGAGGTGCTGCCAGTGCGTTGTATTTAAAAAAAAAAAAGGTATGTTAGTAATCTACTTAAAGCTATGTACATTAAGACTATAAAATAAAGAAATTAAAAACATATGTATTTTGTTATAGAACAGGTAACTGAATACAGCAATGTCTATATTGCATCAAATAAATTCAGATGGAAGTATTGGTTTACCATTTGGACGTGCTGTTGAGAACTATATTTTATCACTACCAATTGTAAAAGGTGCACGTTTCAAATGTCAAAGCCAGCAAAAATTAAATCAAGCTGTTCAAAGAGATTTTGTTGTTTTTAAATGTGAAGAAGGTGCAATTGATTTTAAAGGATGGACTACGATTACTGGTATGACAAAGTCAACGAATCGCTTGGATGACAGGCTTGAACTAACAGAAAAGGGACAAAGTTATGTAAATCAGATTCAGCAGAGTCTAGTTCCAGATTTTTGTGTTTGGCATTGGGTTTTTTATTGTGCAGGTGATGGAAATTGTCAGAGAGTATGTAGCGGATTTGAAAACTGTTTACCTAATTATCCAAACTATAAAATGAAAAATAATTTAAAAAATAGCAATGATATGCATAAATGCAAAGTTCGTATAATTACCAAAGTTATGCTTAATATGGTTAGGGAAAGATTTCCTATTAAATTATATATAGAAAGTCAGCATATTCCTACAAATATTTTTATTCAACATGAATCAGCTGTTACATGTTTAAATCTTAGTAGAACAATAAGGGATCAGGTTATATTAAGTCGACGTGCAGATGGACATACAGCTAAAGAAATTAAACTCAAACTTTTAGCTCCATTTAATGGTGCATCAAAAGAACAATTAGAACAACAAGAGAAATATGGAACTAATATATGTAATGAACAAAAACTCCAGCAGTTGTTAGAATGAAATAATCGATACACTCGTGACAATATAGGCTCATGGACAATTTTACATAGTTTAGTTATGAATGAGTTAAAGAGAAGGGATTTGTTCTCTATTATCAACAAGAGGATCAAAGTTTTCCTTCAAATTCACCAGAACACTATTATCAACTTACTATAAGTGATAATATGTGGCTTGAACAAGCTCGAAATTATGGTTCATTTTGTTTTGGCATTGATGCAAAGTATGATCTTAATAACGACCGGGCACCTATTCATAGTCTTGTAGTAGAAGATTGTGGAAATTGGGGTACGCCTATAGGATTTGCATTGTCTAACAAAGAAAATATAAATACAATAAGGCTTGCAGTCGAAGCAATAAAGGCAAATATACCTTGTAAAAATATAAATTGTGAACATCTATATGAATATATTATATTACCTAATAATAAGGGGTTTAAATGTATACGGCCATGTGCAATTGAGTGGAAACCTTTTGCAATGATAGACAAACATCGGCCAACCAAAGCTGCATTAAAGCCTATTATTCATGGTACAATACTTTGTTGGTTCTATATAATGCAAACTTTTAGAAATCATTTTCGTACACAAAAAATTGACTGGAACCTAAGGTAATATATTTGTAAAAGGTATTATTTGATTCAATTCTAAATATGATAATTAGATTGGATGATACTTTTAGTATATGCTATATATATTTATTATATTAATTGTGGTATCTTATGTTAAAATTGGCTTATATAGAATTTAAATATACTTAATATAAAATTTTTAAATACATTTTTTAAAATCAGGATTAGAATTTTAATAAAATTTAATATCAAATAAAGATCTTAATTTTAATATAAGCCGATATTAGTATAAGATACTATATTAATAATATTTTAAACATATTACTTATTTTATTTATTACTTTTATGTTATACAGATATCCGATAGCACTGGCATTTAAGATTATTGGTAGATGTAGAAGTATAACTGAAGCTAGAGAAATGGCAATTGAATATAAAAATTTTATTAATTCACTTCCAATTTCTGTTAATACAAAAGCATTTTTTATAAATGATCTTGAAGACAATTGGCTTAGTCAAGAGTGGATCCTTAGTTTTATTGATAGTGGACGTTTACCTAATAAGGAAGATGAGTCTAATGTAAAACCTTGGACTACTAATAATTTTACTGAAAGAATGAATAAAACTTTTGAAGAAAGATATTCAGGCACCCAAACAGTATTAACTTTCATTGAACGTCTTTATGGTATCAAGATTGCTCGCTCAAATCTTACTGAAAATTGTAGTCAGTTGATCTTTAATGCAGGGCTTGTTACTTACTGGAACTTACACACCATTGAGCACCAAAATGGACTATCTAGATTACAACCTGATATAACACGCCGTATTAATCAGGGAAAATTAAAAGTATTACAAGATGATATTCTTGAAGTTCCAGACAATCCAAACTTTTTATATGTGTGCATGAATAATCAAAAGCAAAATAATTTTCGATCTCCATATACAACAGATAAAATTAAATTTGGAGATAGTGAGGCTCAAGAGATATCTAAGATGATTACAAAGCTTGCAGCAAAGCATATGGTTCCAATGCTGTCTAATTATTATTTGGTTAATTATATTACAAGTGAATGTACCTGTCTTGACTTTATTTGGCATGGATCATTTCGTGATTTTTGCAAGCATGGTCATGCAGCACGTATTTATGTATCTATAAAGAGAAATGAGCATTCAATTAATCAAATAAAAAAAGAATTTGTTCAGTATTTTCGAAATAAGGAACGAGTAATAGCATCTAATGTAAAAAATAATATAATATATACTGGATCTGATGAAGAAGCTTATGCAGAAATTTTATGCCAGTATAAAGTTAGGGGGGATATTATTTTTTTTCCAACTGAACAGCAAACTACTGAAAAAGATCCGTTTAGACCAAGTGAGCTTCCAAGATTGAAACATGCTGTCAATTTATTAAGTGTAGAGTTTAATGAAGCAAATAATCAAGTAGCTATAGAAAATGAAGTAAGTAGTAATATTTTATTCTGTCTTTAGATATATTATCTATAAATTTTTAGTCAAAAGCAAATGATATATAAATTATATTATAAGCAAACAAATTAAATAATATTAATTATTGACAATATGTACAATTATAATTTTTAATTAAGATTGTTAAATATCTTAAACTTTTACTATAGATTTAATGCATTATACTAATTGATAAATTTTAAATTTATTTTATAGCATTTAAATAGTGCACTGTATTTACGAAATGAAGATATTAATTCACTTACTCTGAATAATAATAACATTAATCTTGATGATTCTAAAAAATTGAGTAATTCGCATACTTTAACCTATAATTATTACAATCAAGAAACAATGTTTGTACAAAATAAAGATATTCCAGAATCTCAATTCACTTCTTTTATTCAACCCAAATCAAATAATGTAAGTATAATTCATTATTATGTATTAAAAGTAATAAAAGCTAAGTTATTTATTAACTTCTTGTTAAATAATTAAGCCATTGGTCCCGATTATAGAAAACAAGAATATGCCACATTCTATTGAAAAACGTCAAACTAAAAGAGTACGAAATAATAAGCGCAAAATTAAATTAGATGTAAGTAAACTTTATATTAAAATAAAAACTTGTGTATTTTCTTTTTTTATTGTTAATTATTTTTTTTAGTCAAGTTTGCGTGATAATGAAAATGTTCCGCCACCAAGAAGAAGGAGAATTGAAAAACCTGCATTGGAAGAACTTTTTGAAGAATAAGGTATTAGCTGGAATCGGAAGGAATTTGTTAAAGAATGTCAGTCTCGAAATATTTGCCTTGATGATGATGATATTATTAATACAACCAAATTAATTAGCTGGTTTGATCGTAAAAAAAACAAAGCTAAATCTTTAGTAACAGTATTAAATTAAAGATTTGGCTATTTATTATTAAGCTAGATATTACGAATATGCAATGAAAAGGTATTATATATATCAGATATGCATTAAAAAGTTTTTTTAGCGCATATGCAAATAAATAATTTTTTATATAAATAAATAATGCATGCAATTTTACTATTTTATCCAAAGTATTATCAGTTTGAACTAATTTTGTTTGTACATTAATTAGAATAAAAATAAATTAATAAAAATCTCAGTTATAAATCTTGTTACTTGTATATTTGCATATAAATTATTTGTAATTTATTTAAAACTAAAATTTGCATTTAAAATCTAAATTAGATAGCATTATAGTAATATAAATTTACTTCTTTGTACACTTTATTTCAATAGATTTTTTAATAATGATAAAAAGTCTCTAGTTCAATTGTCAATTGTTACTTTAGCTTTAAGTATATTACTAACGATATCTTCTTTTATTATTATTTTAATTAAACACACTGGTAGCACCTCTATTTCATCTGCCCTATAACAAAAGTATTGAATTTCTCTATTTTAACGCACATAGCTTTAAGTAGATTATTAACAATACCTTTTTTTTTTTTTTTAAATACAATACGCTGGCAATACCTCTTTATTTCGTTTGTCCTGTAACAAAATTATTGGTAAGTTTCCAATTTCTCTATTTTAACATACATAGTTTTAAGTAGATTACTAACGATACCTTTTTTTTTAATTCAACGCACTGGTGGCACTTTTATTTCGTTTGCCCTGTAACAAAAATATTGGTAAGTTCTTAATTTCTCTATTTTAATACATATAGCTTTAAATATATTACTAACAATACTTTTTTTTTTAATTCAATGTGCTGGCGGCACCTTTTATTTCGTCTGCCCTGTAACAAAAGTATTAGTAAGTTTCCAATTTCTCTATTTTAATACACATAACTTTAAGTAGATTACTAACAATACCTTTTTTTAATTCAACGTACTAGCAGTACATTTATTTCGTCTGACCTGTAACAAAAGTATTGGTAAGTTTCCAATTTCTCTATTTTAACGTACATAGCTTTAAGTAGGTTACTAGCGATACCTTTTTTTTTTATTTAAATATAACGCGCTGGCGACACCTCTTTATTTCGTCTGCTCTATAACAAAAGTATTGGTAAGTTCTTGATTTCTCTATTTTAATATATATAGCTTTAAGTAGGTTACTAATGATACCTTTTTTTTTAATTCAACGCACTGGCGGCACTTTTATTTTGTCTGTTCTGTAACAAAAGTATTGGTAAGTTCTTGATTTCTCTATTTTAATATATATAGCTTTAAGTAGGTTACTAACGATACCTTTTTTTTTAATTCAACACACTGGTGGCATTTTTATTTTGTCTGTCCTGTAACAAAAGTATTGGTAAGTTCTTGATTTCTCTATTTTAATGCACATAGCTTTAAGTAGATTACTAACGATACCTCTTTTTATTATTATTTTAATTCAACGCACTGGCACACTCTATTTCATCTGCTCTGTAACAAAAATATTAGTAAGTTCTTAATTTCTCTATTTTAACACACATAGCTTTAAATAGATTACTAACGATACTTTTTTTTTATTATTTTAATTCAACGCACTGGCAGCACTTTTATTTCATCTGTCCTGTAACAAAAGTATTGGTAAGTTCTTAATTTCTCTATTTTAACGCACATAGCTTTAAGTAGATTATTAATGATACTTTTTTTTTTAAAAAAAAAATACCATGCGCTGGCAACACCTCTTTATTTTGTCTGCCCTGTAACAAAATTATTGGTAAGTTTCCAATTTCTCTATTTTAACATACATAGCTTTAAGTAGGTTACTAACAATACCTTTTTTTTTAATTCAACATACTGGCAGCACTTTTATTTCGTTTGCTTTATAACAAAAATATTGGTAAGTTCTTAATTTCTCTATTTTAATACACATAGCTTTAAATAGATTACTAACGATACCTTTTTTTATTATTTTAATTTAACGCGCTGGCAGCACCTCTTATTTCGTCTGTCCTGTAACAAAAGTATTAGTAAGTTTCCAATTTCTCTTTTTAATATACATAGATTACTAATGATACCTTTTTTTATTATTATTATTTTAATTCAACGCACTGGTGGCACCTTTATTTCATCTGCCCTGTAACAAAAGTATTGGTAAGTTCTTAATTTCTCTATTTTAACACACATAGCTTTAAGTAGATTACTAATGATATATTTTTTTTTAATTCATTGAACTGGCAGCACCTCTATTTCGTTTGTTCTGTAACAAAAGTATTGGTAAGTTCTTAATTCTTTATTTTAATACACATCGCTTTAAATAGATTACTAACGATACTTTTTTTTTATTATTTTAATTCAATGCACTGGCAGCACTTTTATTTCGTCTGTCCTATAACAAAAGTATTGGTAAGTTCTTAATTTCTCTATTTTAATGTATATAGCTTTAAGTAGATTATTAACAATACCTTTTTTTTTTTTTTTTTTTTTTTTTTAAATACAATGCGCTGGCGACACCTCTTTATTTCGTCTGCCCTGTAACAAAAGTATTGGTAAGTTCTTAATTTTCTATTTTAATATACATAGCTTTAAGTAGGTTACTAACAATACCTTTTTTTTTTAATTCAACATACTGGCGGCGCTTTTATTTCGTCTGCTCTGTAACAAAAATATTGTAAGTTCTTAATTTCTCTATTTTAACACACATAGCTTTACAGTAAATAGATTACTAACAATACCCTTTTTTTTTTTTTTTAATTCAACGCGCTGGCAGCACCTCTTATTTCGTCTGCCCTATAACAAAAGTATTGGTAAGTTTCCAATTTCTCTATTTTAACACACATAGCGTTAAATAGGTTACTAAAGATTTCTTTTTTTTATTATTATATTAATTCAACGCACTAGTGTACTTTTATTTCGTCTGTCTTGTAACAAAAGTATTGTTAAGTTTCCAATTTCTCTATTTTAACACACATAGCTTTGAGTTGTTTATTAACAATACCTTTTTTTTTATTTTCACTCAACGCACTGGCGGCACCTTTGTCTTTTAAATCAATGCCCTTTACTCAACGCATGCAACCTTTCTTCACTCAACAAATTCGCTCAACGTATAACACCTTTTCTATGTCTACTATGCAACATCTCAACTATCAACTCCTTCTCATCCTCCACTTAATGCAACAACACCTTTTATCTCCATTTAGCAAACTGTTTCCTAATTACACTTTACAAGGTAAGCATTTTTTTTATTTTGTTAGGGAAAAAGACGATTTTGCTTCTTTTATACCATATGTTCGATCTAATGATTTGATTGGTTAGTTTATATCAATTGAATACGCAAGTTCATATAACATATGTAACATGAATGTCGTGTAACCTAACCTTATGAAAAATGGACCCTTTTTTGTCGATCATCTGATGAATC